CGTGCGCGTGCGCGTGCGCGTGCGCGTGCGCGTTCGCGTGCGCGTGCGCGTGTGCGTGTGCGGGTGCGGGTGCGGGTGCGGGTGCGGGTGCGGGTGCGGGTGCGGGTGCGGGTGCGGGTGCGGGTGCGGGTGCGGGTGCGGGTGCGGGTGCGGGTGCGGGTGCGGGTGCGGGTGCGTGCGTGCGTGTGCGGGTGCGGGTGCGGGTGCGGGTGCGGGTGCGGGTGCGGGTGCGGGTGCGGGTGCGGGTGCGGGTGCGGGTGCGGGTGCGGGTGCGGGTGCGGGTGCGGGTGCGGGTGCGGGTGCGTGCGTGGGTGCGTGCGTGGGTGGGTGTGTGTGTGTGTGGGTGTGTGTGTGTGGGTGTGTGTGTGTGTGGGGGTGTGGGGGTGTGGGTGTGTGTGTGGGTGTGTGGGTGTGTGGGTGTGTGGGTGTGTGGGTGTGTGGGTGTGTGGGTGTGTGGGTGTGTGTGTGTGTGGGTGCGTGGGTGCGTGGGTGCGTGGGTGCGTGCGTGCGTGCGTGCGCGGGTGGGTGTGTGTGTGTGTGTGTGTATGTGTATGTGTATGTGTATGTGTATGTGTGTATGTGTGTACGAGTGTATGTGTTTGCGCATTTGTATATGTATGTGAAAATGTGCATGTGTATATGTGCATGTGTATATGTGTGTATATGTGTTTGTTGTGTGTGCATGTGTATATGTTGTTGTTGCGTATGTGTGTTTGTGTGTGTCTTTGTGTGTGTGTTTTGTGATTTGAGTTTTGTGTTGTGTGATGTGTGTTTGTGGTTGTGTTCGTATGTATGTGTGTTTGTCTTTTTGGGATGCCGTTGAGAGTATAACTTTGTGCCAACGGCTGTCACACCGGTGAAGGCATTGAACAGTTTCGAAGCTGATGGTGTTTGGGCCGGGTTTGCCAAGTTAAAAATGACAGCTCCAATGCCATGTTGAGTGATTTTCCCCTAGGGTGGTGTTCAAAAAGAAAATCCGGATGCTTCGCCAAGGACGGCCTAATTCAGAGCTTCAAGCTCTCAATCTGCGAAGACATGGACCTTTCCAATTCGGAGTTTGCATCGCTCTTCGTCGTGAGTTCATTGACAGGCCGGTTTTGCTTGAGTCAGGCTTTGCTTCAACCTTTGAGCTGGGTCGTTCAAAATCAACCCTCAGTCCAATCTTTATGCCGGTAGTGACTTCTCTTTTTGTAAGGGTGTCCCACTAAGAAACCGTGACCATCCGACAGGGTTGCTGCTTTGCCTTAAACAAGCTGGGAAAGTGTTTTTCCAAAAACACCTGTCTCACCAGGTTGCGCCCTGTGACCAACAGGAGTTTTGACCAAAGGTCCTGGACAAATGGTATAGGGAGAAACACGGGTTGGACCGCAAATGGTTTTCCGACGAAAAGTTGGTTGGACTCCTTGTGTCAGGTAACCCTGAATTGGTTTGGACTGGAGGTAAATGGGAAACCGCCCCAGAACACCACCAAACAACCGAGCTCCAAGCACCAATTGGAAGGAAGCTAACGGGGTGTCAAAGCAAGAGGAACCATGTTGAGTCAATCCCACGGGAACCTTGTTCCCAGGTGGAATCGGGTTGGAACTGGGTTTTGACTTTAGCACAAATCTCAGTCTCCAATTGAGCGCCACCCCAGCGTTGCCATTTTATCAGATTCTACTACTTGGTTTCATTGGGGTTATGGTAAAGCCTATATAAACCTTACCGTCTCGGTAGAACCCGTCAATGGGTTTGCGGCGCTCACTTGGCACCGTAAGTTTTAGTGTCTTAGGTAGCGCCTCCATTGACTCAGTCCAAAGCCGAGCCTCAACACTTTTGCAAGTTTCTGTTTTGGTCCGAGTTTAGTTCGGGTCCAAGGTGATCAACTTTTTACTCCCAGCCCCTCTGGGTTTGTGCCAGGGAGTGCCTCTATGAATTCCCATTTTCGGGATCAACTGTTTGGCCCCAGGGCAGGAATAAAATCGGCGCCAGTGTTCGCGCTGACACCCAACCTGAGGTGCCTCCACTGCGATTTTGGCATTGGTGATGTATTTGTTTTTCTGCGCGGCGGTTAGTGCAGGGCACCAACTCTTGACAGGGGATGTCCAACTGGAATGGTGTACTGGGTGAGAAGAACAATGACCTCTGTTACTTAAAAGAAATCACCCTCAATGTTTGGCTAGGAACTCGTGATTGGCCATTGAGGCTATATATATATATATGTGTTTTTCAATTGGGAACCCCCGCTGTTTCCCATTTGGTTTCCCTTTTTAAAAAATTCCAGAAAAGGGTGACATCAGACAAAGATGGGCCCACATATGTCAACGTCAGGTGGCCGAGCTCTAGTTTTCCCATGTCCAAGGGAGCCGCATATTCCTGACTCCCTAAGTTCCTGGAGTTCTTACTTTTTGCGCAGACCATTTTACTGGTGAGCAACAAATCTTGACCGTTTTTGTCCAATCAAATCAGGAAGTGACACGTTCACCACCTCTCCTTTGCATTTGTGATGGTTGGTGTCAAATAATCGTGGATCCCAAAAGAAAGCCAACAAAGGGGGGGGTTCCCGCCTCAATAGGCGTCCTTTGCGCGCCGGGCTCCCTGCTGATCCCCCGGCTGGGGCGCACGCCCACGGCCATCGGGGCCAGCTTTCTGGCAGCCATAGGCCGCTGGGCTGGTGGGATACGAATTCAGATGTGTCAAAAGTGGGGGACACCAGAAATGGTTGTTGTCCTTTTGTGCCTAACAAACCTCAAGAGAAGACCCTCGCCCATGGAAATACACATGAAGCCAAAAACCAAGAAATCCCTGTTGGGCCACAAATGGGGATCAGAGCGAACATGCCATGCCTAGAGAGAGGCGGCAGGGTCGCCTTACACCCCAGGGTTCCATTTGAGGCTTTGGTCAGACACCTTTAGCAGGTATGGATCCCCAAGGAAACCCCCCATAAACTGATCATTCATCAAACTGTCCCAAAGCAAGCCCCGAAAATCACAAAGGCAGGGAGGTGGTGACCAGGATTTTCTTTTGTCCCTCCCGACTGCGCTTGCCAGGCTCGAGCATCACCACGCTGGGATTTGTGTGGAGAAGCCTCGCTGCGATGTGGCTCGGGCGCCTTCTCTTTTGGCTGGGCTTGAACGTGCCTCAGCCAGATAGAGTTGATGAGAGCGGAGTGCTTGTGTTCGTTTGTTGGTTTGCTTGTTTCTTTCGACGATTGTTTTTGTGTTTGGAATCTTTATTATTTCTTTGTTGTATCTTTGGTATTTCTTTGTTCTTTAATTGTTCTTGTACGCCATTCTTTCTTTGGTTTTGTCGCGCATCCTTAGGACGTATTTCAACCCCTTTCTGACCTGGGAGCCCCCAGAGCCAGTGAGGGCCTACTTTAAGGTGTTGAATAGGGGTTCTGGCAAATCCGTTTTCGGGGAAACCAAATATAGCTGGAACCCAGATCTTTGTGAAAGCTCTGGCTGCTGCGAGACCTGAGACTGAGGTGTTGCTCATGGTGCAGACCATTCTGGTGTACGACCTTTTCAAAGGACGAGTCGGGAGTCGCGCGCACCGCGAGGGTTCTCTATGGGCATCCGAAGCCATCCAGGTCGGATACAGGTATGTCCCCTTTTTTTGAAGCATACAGCAGATCCATGTCAGTTCTAACGGAACATTGCGTGTGAAACAACATCCAACCAGAAAAGCCCGGTAAACAATGCGTCGGCTTGCAGGGTTATCCTCTTCTTCCTACTTGCAATTTGTAGAGGATGAACCGCATTTCAGAACGTTCAAGGAAGACCAATGCCGTTCATTAAGTGAATTCCACTGTGCTTAAAGTCGAGTTATTTCAGACTCGGGGTGTTGCTTCAAGTTGGCTTTCTCCAGAGGAATGGTCGGTGGCCAGAGGCCCTCTGGCGTCCGGAGAAATTTGGGGTATGTTTGCGTGACCCAAATGATTGGATTGAGTTTTCCTTCACAACCCAAGATGGGTCTCAAAAAGCAAACACCCAATGTCCACTTTCGATTGGCCAAACTTCCAGATGAACGTGCCCCAGACCAATGCGCGGTAAGATTGCTTCCTAAAGGCGTGCCCGCGGGTTCGATTGCCTTTGATCCCGGAACCAGTACAGACCCCCTCAATGGAGAATTTGCTTTCAACCACCAGGCAACGGCCGTGGTTCTCAACGCGCGTTTGTTTGATTCCTAGCCTGCAAGAAATGATAGTGTCGCCGCTCTGGAAGACAGCCGGGCAAAAATGATGGGCGTAGGTGGTTATTGGCAGGTAACCCTTGAAAACGCCCAGGCGACCTATTGCATCGTGACCCTTTTGCTTGGTGGGTTCCCCCCCAAAAAAAAACAGATGCAAAAAAGCCAACCCCCAACAGGGCTCGAAATCATTTCGGCCGCACAGTCGCTGGTTGCAAGTCCTCAGTTTTCCGCGTGAGGAAAAAGCTTGAGCTGCGCGATGACAACGATCGTGTGCTCCATCAGATTAGGAGGCTCTCTAAATGGGTGGGTTCTCCTTTTGTTTGTTTGTAGCTTGCCATAAGTCCTGCCACTCCGCAAGCCAAACCAATATTTCCCAAAAATACCACCCCCAAAGGACCCATTTTTCTTCCTTGGCCCGTTTCCTGTGGGCAGGATGTAGTGGTTCATTGGTTATGCAAACGAAGCGGACCATGGGCCCAAGGCTTCAGCGAAGCATTCGAAAGCCCCCAGCCCGGCCTTGGCTAAAGGGCGCCCTTTGCGTGTCACCCAATGGCATCACAGTTTGAAATTCCCAGAGCCGGATTGGTTACGTCCCCCATGTTTCATAAACTAGGAGGCCGTGGCTTTTTGTTGACCCCAAAGATACTTGCGCCCTTGCGCCTTGCACAGGTTTGTGGAACATTTGGCATTTCAGGGGCCTGTTTCTCTGATACCCACAAGACCAAGGACTCACTTGCCTGCCAGGTGACCAAGTAGTCACAATGGGCGCCCACATCAGAGAGCATAGTTTGAGCGTACCTTGTTTGTCGTACGGGTTGGGTCAGCCGGCGACCGTAGGCAGCCTGTCTTACCCGCTCTCTGGGCCGCTGCTGCACCAAGTCGGGGTGGTGGAGTCGCTTTGGATGTCCGCAGCTCGATGCACGGTTCGCGCGAGCGGAGGCTTTGGGGAGTGGGTCAGGGTGATTCACAAGGGGCCTGACGTAGATATGTTGATCCCACGAAAGCCGCTGTAGAGAACCAGGGCAAATCCACTGTTTGAAAACTAGCTCGCTTTTTTGTCCGTTGTGTTGCAACTAGCATTCTGTGGACGAATCTAGATCGCTCACAGGGCGTTTGTTTTTCCCTGAAACGGATGAGTCTCCCACACGGGGTAGCCTCCTGATGAGTTGCGTCATCCCAAGGAGACATTGCCAACATGTCTTTCAGATTTGCCTGTCACGGGCCCACCAATCAGGCGACTTGTTTTTTGAGCTTGACGTTCTAGTGACTAGTGGTGGAGAATCCATCCTTGGCTTGGTGAAACATTGCACGCAATAAGCCTGAGTTTTTTGCGCCACCTTACCTTCTTACCTTCAATGCATAGGTGTCAAAAGAGGGGGACCTGCAAAATGGTGGATTTCCTCTTGCCGAAATGATCTCGTTGGTTTAGTGTTATTTTTGTTGCTCCGCCCCTTCGCTCCTTTTCCGCCTTGACAGCGGATACTACACCAGGTTTTCCTGCAAAAGCCAGGGATGTAGGAACAGCGTGTTTTTTGCAGATTAACATGGAACCCGAAAAGACTTCGCAGAAAAGTAAGGGATTCCGCTTGGTACCAGAGGAATCAGGTGTGGCACTTTCCCTGTTTTTCGCACCCCCCCCCTTTGTGGACCCATCATCCAAAAAGGTCAAAACATTCGGATGGCCAATTTGGTTTTCCAGCAGGGGACTCACTAAATTACCTACAACATCAAAAACTAATTGTCCATGTCCTTCTGGGGCAACCACATTTTCCGGTTTTTGTCCTGTCTTGGCTGACTTGAGCCCTGGGTTTGATAGGTATTTGGCAAACCTGTAGATTTGTCTAGTTTCTCAGATTGCCCTATTCTGTTCTCGAAGTAAGGGACTGCTGGTTGCTTCCCTGAAAGCCATCCAACACGTTTTGAGACCCCCTTTTTCCAAGGTGGCCCTGGTGGTCGGCGCCTTCCTCGCCACCTTGGTCTTCGGCTACCTTTTTCAATGGACAGCCACGGCCCGCGCGGTGCGGCCCATGCTGGAGCGCGCCAGCTCGATCACCGGGCCCATCGAATTCGGGTTGGCAAGGCAGATCTCCAAAAACGCGCCTTGGGGCCGTCGGGTTAGGGGAGACTTGAAACCAGCCTGCAGCCTGGGCACCTAGCAAGGGGAAAAACGTATGCTGATCAAGCAAAAGGAGTTTGGACATGTTTAGGGGGTTGGCGCTCTTTAGGGAGGTCGCCCTTAAGGAACCGGTCGGAGTTCCCAATTGGAGATAGAGGGGTGTCGGCAAATCGAAGCAGAATTTGGATCGGCTGGGCAGGTAGAATGGGGAGGGGGTGATGCCGTTTTGGAAGCTGGTTGCCAGTTTGCAAGAAAAGGAAGAGAAGCCATCTATCTTTGCAGGTTCAAGCAAGCCCATTTGGGGAGGGGGCGGGGGGAATCCAGCTTGTGTCGGCGTGTGGCTGGAAAGATAGGGGTTGGGTTGAATCCAAACTTTTGGCACCCAATAGCCTAATTCGGGGTCGACGCAATTTGGGCGTGGTTTTTCGAGGTTACCATGTTTACCTTGGATCAGTGGGACACCAAATGGAAGCCAAGCATTTTATGGAGCCCATGTTTTGACGCATACCCATTTGCTTGCAAGATGCTCTGCTCTCCCAGGTGCTCGTCTTCTTGTCTGGCATTGCAGCGATTTGGGGCGTCGTCTTCCCTTTTGAAGTGGTTGGAGATGACTCTTGCCTGCGACAGTTCACCATGCGGGGGGGGGGGGGGGTTGTGGCTCCTGTGTTGTTTATTGTGTTTTTTTTTTTTTTATTATTTTGTTTAATTGTGTTATTTATTGTTTCATTCATGCATTGATGTGGTTGTTTATGCATGTGTTTATTTACTTATTGACTTATTTAGTTGTTGATGTATATTGAGGTCTTTGTATAATATATATATATATATATATATTTACATATTTGTTTCGTCATGTTCATTCAAGTACTTGTTTATTGATATTATCATTGGTTTATGTGTTTGGTTAATGTTTAGCTGAGCAGCACGCAAGGTTCCTGTTTCCGTTTGAATCCATTCAACGGGGGTCCCAATTTTGAGACAGATCCAGATTGAACCCGTTGCTATTTTGACGAACACCCGGAGACAGTGAGTTTCGCGATGCTTAGCTGGTGCCCCCAACTCATATTAGTATTTGTGCAATGAATCGCGTCTAATTCGGAAAGCATGTGCCAGGTTGTCAAATAACCTCCCTCCCTTCAAATGCGGCACTAAATTTCACATGGGGCTCAGAAAGGGAGCATGTTGGGGACAACTTGACATATGCGTTTCCCACATGTACCAGAACACCTCCAAGTTCGGCTTGCCCGCAACTCGACAGTTTCCTGTGATGCAGTCAGGAACGCGACTTTGCGCCACAACCTGAACCCAGTTCGTGCAGGTTGTAGGCACACTCACAACCCAAAATAGGCGCAGCAGCCTTTTGATTCTGTAGAGAGTTTTGGGGTAGCCATTTTTGAACCAGGTCTGATTTTGACTTGGCTGTTGCGTGTCATGAGCATTGAGGTGCGCCAAGAGGAAGATCAACGAACCCAACTGCAAAAGACTCCCTTCTCTGCTGGATATCAACCCGCCGATGGGTGACAGAGTTTTCAGAGTTGTCGTGGCTGTTTGTTTCAGGGGTTACATGCCAACATGTGGCATTTCCGCAAGGGAGATAAGTCAAGTCGATCCTCATCCTGGCTCCAGTCGTTCTCCAAGATTCCTTGTCGGAGTCAGTGAGTGGTTCTTTCTCAGAATGCGGTTGACCCCTGTTTGCTTTAATTCCGCTGAGGTTGTACCCCTTCTCACTTGCCCGAAGCTGGTCTTTTTACCCTTTGGTTTCCCTCGTTGGTCCATTTTTACTCGTGGCCCGAAAGGTTAACCTTCTCCTGGTGGGTCCGTTGGGAAGCTGAGCCCAGGGTTGTACCCGAATGACCTTCAGACAGGAAGACACTTTACTTCAATTCAGAGCTCGCTTCTGGCATGGCCTCGAGGACATGCTCCAGCGAGAGTTTGGGTACTCAGCGGACAACGCCGGGTTCATCATCGCCCTTGCCCCGCACACCGGGCCAACATTTGGCAACGTTGTGAAGAGATGGTGGAAAAGGCTTAATTTAGAGCTACCTCCATCTTCAAAGGATAGAACGATGTATGAACTACTTCCATCTTTTTAAGGTGTACGATTGTGTCACTATTCCCTGTTGTGTCTTCAGTTCAGTACCTGTTCGCGATTTTGCACAGTGTCTCGTGCCACCCTGTTTCAGTTGAAGTAACTTCGACAAGGCAAATGCGCTGTGACATTCAATGAGTTTCAATGGGTCTCCACGCTCAAAACAGTTTCACTCCGTGTTTGTTTGATGTCCACCATTGAAGTCGTTGACGGAGAGAGTTGAAACACCATCTCAAAAGTTATTCTATCTTCTACGACTGGAAAAAGGGGTAAGCATTATCCTATCATCCTGATGATCTCTATGAACATAAGGATCTCCAGGGCAATTTGGACAAGAACCCACCCATTAAAACGAAGAAACCTAGTTTGAGATTCTTGAACAGGATGATCTCTATCCTGAGCCCCGCGCTGGCGCCGTTCTTGGGCTCCTCTCTGCGGCAGAAGCTTTGGGCCTTCGGCCGGGGCCCTAGGGCTCCTCCAACCAACAAGCGGAGGTCGATCCGGTTTGGTTTTTTGAAGCAAGGCGGCTGATGTTGTCCGTTGCTTGCGGAAGTCCGGCAGTTTGAAATATGGTGGTGGAAATGGTGTGTTTGTGTGGTGATATGTCCGTCAAGTGGCGGAGTAGTGGTTTCGGCTTTGCAGGAGCTTCAGTTGAGTCCTGGAACCCATCCCTTTGCGGGCCTTAGAGCAGAGGTCCCTGACCATGAGGAAGGATTGGGTGCGACGCCCTATAGACAAGCACATGCCGATGTCACAGATCCTTCAGCCTATGAATTTATACCCATTGGCTAACTGGGCACGGCAAAGTGTCAACTGTACATTCGTCCATGCTTTCTAGAGATCCTTCTCTTCCACGCAAAGCAAAGAACACGGAACCTGAGTGGTTGCTCAAAAGAACCAGGGGCAGCACCATCCAGTGAGAGGAAGGAAGCGAAACATCACGATTTCCATGGCGTAAGTCAAAGGAGCTCCCAAACATCGGCTGACACTAGTCCACCATCGGGTAGCATTCGGGTCAAGACCGTTGTCTCCATGATCCTTTATCTCAGACGCATTGAGGGCAAACGCGCACAGCTGGTGTAGTGCGGCGCCTGCCAAGTTCGTCGGTTCAGACCGACGGTTTCGCGGTGTCACTTGCCCTGTGAAAGCCGCGGCCGGAAGTGAATTCGTGCGACCGTGAGTTGATCACATGACGCATTGCGATGCTAGGCTGAAGGATGAAACCTTCGCACCTGAGAAAGATGCCAGCCTCTGAACGGTCGAGGCCTACACACTTAAAGTGGTTGGCTTCGAAGGCCCGAAAAAGCGAATGGAGGGCATCTCGAACGAATTGAGCCACACGGGCCGTGTGAAAAACATGTTCAGAGGTCGCATCTGCGCAGCGCCGCCAACTTCATAGGGAAAATGGAAACCGGGTTGGCGGCTGAGCCAAGGAGCGAGCTCCAAGAAGCTCAGCGCACAAAAATCTGCTGATGGGTCGATCCCCTGTGCAAGCTCAAGCAAGTGAGCTGTAAATGCAGGGCAGGCCTTGCCTGCTAAAGGGGCGTAGAGCGTGAGCCAGTTGTCCGGCAGCCAGTTGTGTATATTGAGGTGCTCAACCTGGGCGCCCCAATCCATATCGTCCAGTGTGATTCCGGTGATGTCAGTGGCGTTTGCTTTGGCTGCTGCGAGCCTGGATTCAGCTACTTTCAAGAGAAAGGTGCGCATGGCCACAAGGTCCTGGCGCTTCTCAGTGTAAAAGTCTAGGTCCAGTCGTAGCAGCCGTCGAAGGTCAGGGGGTCGCTGGTGATTCATAAGGACAGCGTTTGTATCCGCGATTGAGTTCCACACACAGCACCACTCTTCAATTGGCGTTTCGCACAGAGCAAAGTCCAAATGTGAAGGCGTCCAACGGAAGCTGTTCCCAAAGGTCGTGGTTTGCAGTGGTTCCCACGTGTGCGGATGTTTGTCCAAATATGATGGGCTGCGCTTTACGAAAAGTGCCAAAGGAATCCGATCGTCTGTGAAATACCTCCAAGGGCCTGGCTGGCAACGATTGCGAGGTTGAGGCATTGCAAATACTCCAGGATGCCAAGGTACAGCCCTTGCGTCCCTGCTGTATGCAACTGCCGTCCGTGAAGAGATGCTGTGTGCCGAGGCCCGGTTCGCTGAGTGTGGTGGGTATCTCGCGCACTGCTTGCGAATGGCTGTGATGTAGGGAGGTCTCTCAACCAAAAGATGCTCTCGCATGTGACTGGGTCGCTCTGTTGTCCTTGCTGAGAAATCCGGAATATGCGCACGTATGTCGGCGAATCTGGGGCAGCTGTACCAGTGATTTATGGAGTCTGCTGTACCACATAGACTGCATTCAGGCCCCTGTGAGAGGTCGAACTTGGACTGTTGAGCGGGGGTAATAAAAGCGCTTTCCTGAATCGCTAGCACGCGTGCAAGTTCGACTGGCGCTAAGCTCCTGGAATGCAGTGTGTTGAGGTTGGGGTCCAGGGAGTGTAGCTGGCATAACGGTTTCCGGTGTTGGACCGAGCTTGCAACATACTGTAACCATGCGTCGCGTGCCAGCACATGTACTGCTGCGTGGTCGAGGTCGATGAGGTTGATGACCAACTGATCTTGCGATGGCGGGTCCAAAATACCCCAGCCCATTTTGTTGACGAGCGCGATGAGTTGGGAAAAAGGGCCGTCAAATAGGGCGCCGTCATAGTTCTGTGTGAACGCTCGCCACTGCGTGAGTATGTCAGGAGATTTCTTGCAGAGTCGTCGGATCAGCATGATGGCCTCAATCCACATGAAGAAACCCGGGTCGGCCGTGTCGGGGGTTGAGAGCTGGCGCCGGCACGTTGTAGCCCGAGAGCCTTCATGGTCGAGGAGCGCAGCTGCTGGATATGGCGATCTGAAACCAGAGATCCGGCGGCTCCATGTAGCGCGGTAGCCCAAAAGGTCATGGGTAGGGCCTGAAGCTTCTGGTGCAATGGTGCACTGGATCTGGATAGGCGCATTTTTCGGCAATACGAAGACTGCAGGAGCGAAGAAGCCGAGCGCTGCGTCCACTATGAAGGTCAAAGATCCGCCAAGTTTGTCCGCGTCTCTCATTTGCTGGATTCCCAAAGTTGTGAGCTGCTTGCGCGCGGCAAGGGTTGAATCCAGCTGCATGCCCCAGGACACAGAAAAGTCTGCAGTGTAGCAAAAGCCATAGCCAGGATGCATGCAGTCACCGACTGCAGGATGATGGTGTCGACGAAGCTCATCACCCGTATCTGAGGGCAAAAATGCCGCATATAGATGTGCATATTGAGGTCCAGGGTGACCGTGGCCAAAATTGAGAGGACTGCCCTCGAGAAACCCGACGTTGCTGTAGTGCTTGGGGCCTAGCTGGTTCATGACCATGAAGCGGCGACTCATCTGACCCAGGAAAAGTATCCAGGAGTGGAGCAGTTGACGGGGAACGCCAAGGTGTGCTGCCACAGAGAAAACTGGCTGTCGCCTTATGTGGTTGAAGGCTTTGATGACATCTGTGGATAAACCGACTTGCTGCCAGTTGTTTTGATGCGCAAGCTCTGTGAGAGGCTGGACCTGGTACCAGGCTTGGGCTGCTTCACGAGTAGGAAGGAAGCCAAATGCATCCTCGTTCACAAATGAGACGATTTGTCGGAGCATCTGTCTGAGTCTGAGGGACGCCCAGCATCTGTATGCCATAGAAAGCAACACGATGGGTCTGTAATGGGTGGGAGTCGGTCGGAGATGGCAATAACAAAGCCTCCCAGCCATTGAATGGGCCACTGACTGTTGCCCTGGCAGAGAGGGCAAAAATGTGACCTGCTGGTCGCTCATGTTGCGGAGGTCGGCTAGAGGTGATTGGCGTCTCGGATAGCCATCTCGGTTAGACTGAGCTGTTGTTGTACCTCCGGCACTGCAGTGCGGAGAATCCGTTGCACTAGAACCGCTCCGTCGGCAAAGTCGTCGTGGGTGCTGGTAGTAAGTCCTCCGCAATGTCAGAGATGTGGATAGGCACCCCATCAATGCTCCAGGTGCAGTTGGGGGCTTCCTAAACGTGGTCACTGACATGGCAAAGTACGTCGATCTGATCCTTAGGGGCATCTTGGAGATCCTGGAAAATGGCCTTCATGGTCTTGTCGTACTTGAGTTTTGTGGATCTGGAACTGTTAATGCCGGTCCACGATTCAAAGCATCTGAAGGCGGAGTGGAAGGCTGCAAGTATCCACTCTGCTTTGTCCTTCGTGGGCAGTAGAGACCTAAGCAGTGCGAAAAGTCCTGGGCGAACCACCAATCGGTGAAATTGGTGGAGAAGCCCTTGGCTCGTAGAATTGAGCCCCACAGTTCGGCTCTGTAGATGGAGGCATTGTCGCTGTGGTTGCCGGATCTGATGCTACTCAGGTACGACTAAAACCTGCGAAGTTGCTCGAACCACTGTAGGACCTTATGTCCGACATTGTGATCGAGTGTGACTTCGCCAGGTCTGCTTGCTTTGCAGACATGTGGTGAGGCCTGCATGGTGGTGGGCTGGGTACGCTGCGCGCGTCCACGTTGGTTGGGTAGGAGAGAGTGGCCATGGTCCAAGTTGACCAGGCCTTGAAGCGAGGCCTCGAAGGTGCGGCCAAAGGTGGCAAGTGCTTGTGTGGAGTCGTTATCGTTGTGGTGCCAGCTATCTAGATCGACCTGGTCCCAGGGAATTTCCGATGGACGTGGCCACGCTAGAAAGCTCTGCAAAAGACAAGCAAGCCGGACTGTGGAATGGTCAGCGAACGATGGTTGGATAGAAACCAAAGTGCAGACAAAGGCAAGAGCCGGAGAGAGCCAGATCTGGTCTCGCTCGGTGGCTCCCTTGCAGGTGGGAATGATGTCCTGGAACCATCGGTTGTGTGCAAGTTGTTGTACACTGATCCAGCCGTAGGCTTGCCAGTTGCATCTGCTGGAGGTCGGAGGGGTTGAAGTTGAAGTCGCCTGTGATGGCGGCAAGACCATTGTAGCCGATGATCACATCTGTGGTCAAAACTGAAAGCAATCTACCTGGCCCTTGGCCAGGTGGGCCTCGAGGGAAGCCGTAGATGTTTGCCACCAAAATGGGGCAATTGGCCATGCCTGCGTGTGGCTGGACCTCCGGGTCTTGAGTACAGCGAGACGCTTGTCCGCTTGCTGCTGCTGAGGTTGAAAGGTGGAGAGGTCAGGGTTGGCGTTGCCGTGGAGGTTGGCGACTTCCTGCTTGAGGTTCATGTTGAGCTCACTACGGAGCTGGTCGCTGAGTTGCTCGATGCGCTTGCTACCTGCGGTACTGAGGCTGGTTGGTGCTGACGGTTTGACGGCGCCGAGAGCTATTCCATGGGCCCTTTGCTGGATCAGACCATGGGTCTGTGCTGGCTTGGCCTGTGTGTGTCAGAGTCTGCTGCTCCTTTTGGATGTGCTGCCGCGTCCTGCGCGATGCGAGAAGCTGCGGAGTGGCAATGGCGCGTTTGGCTTCTTGATTTCGGGACAAGGATGCCCGGTCAAATCCCCTCAGAACGTGTTGAGTTGGGGGTGTGCTGGTGCCAACCAACCAGACCATGTAGTCCGAGGTGCCACGGAGGTTTGGCGCCACTTGGGTCAAGTAGCTTGGTGATGTTTTTTTTCTGGGTTCCGTGTGGGAGTGAGTAGATGCACCTGGCATCAATGCCTGACTACTCCGCTCCAGGACGAAGGGTTTTGAAGGCCTGTTCCTCATCCTTGGCGTTGACTCGGATGCCGAATCGGTTCTTCATGCGCATAAGGCAGATGGAGCGGTTGAAGGTGCGTGCTGCATGGGTAGCCTGGGCGTAGTTCACTCCTGGCAGCCAGATCACCTTGTAGTTGTCGTCAGGGCCTTTGTTGTTGGTGGCCCGTGGATCGATGAAGATTCCGGGCGCACTCGTGCTGAGGATGCCGGCGAGGGCGAAGTGCGGGATCCGAAGGAACACAACAAAAATGTCGAGATGAACTGCCTAGACCAGAGTTCAAAAATGATCTGGTCGACGTGTTGATCTACTGGGCAGCGCGTGTACGTACACGACGTGCCGCAGTTCTTGGCTGCGCAGAGCCTGAGAGCGGGGATCTGAGCGACTAGGTCGCGCACACAAGGGGTCTTGTGCTCAAGAGCCTTTTGGACAGGAGCAAGGCCAAGTTTGTCAGAGCTGCGCTCTTCCCGCGACTGCCTTGAGTGGGACACCCCACTCCTGAAGAATGGCAGCGAGCAATTGAAGGGTCGTGAAGTGATGGCCCAAGGCCGAGGATAGTGCCCCTGAGGGGGGGTGGGCGCTGGTGGCCCAGGTGCTCGAATTGGCACTTGGAGGAATGAAGAGAGGTGGACGAGAGCGATGGTGCCGCAGGAATAGTCATCCAGCTGATCGTGGAGTCTGTTGTAGCGCACAGAGTGGTGGGTAGACCCGGAGAGGTCACTGATGATCACTGCAAGTCGTTCTGCTTCCGGGTGTTTGCGGTGTGCGAGGCCGTCGTAGATGGTCCAGTGAAGCTGGTGGTCGATGAAATGACCACCTAGCATGATCCAGTGCCTGGCATCTGCGAAGATGCATGTGACTGTGTGGAAGCCAGTCCATGGAAGAGGAGCCTGGCTGCCGTCAAGCAGCGCTTGTGTGGTGGGATGGATGTTGAGGTTGTGGTGGTTGTCGTCAAGGTTGTGTAGGGAACTGAGGATATTGGAGAATGGCCAGATAGTCGAGTCCCAGAGGGAGTTGGTCCCAGCTCCAAAGGAGTGGAGATGGGTACCAATGGGCGTAGTCCTGTGATGAGGATGTCTTCCTGAGGCGGAGCATTCTTTTGGTGACTGTGTGGAGGACGTCCTTCTCGATTGAGGCTGCGGATGGATCGATCGGTTGGCCGAGATAGTTGAAGAAACAACGCTTGAACCCCCATCCGTCGTTGATGCGCTCTGCAAGAAGGACTGCATGGGCCGGAATGGTGCATTGCGAGGGTAGCTGCAGTGGCAAGCCCTCATCTGTCTTGACCTGATTGATTGTTCGGCTGTTGGGGTGTGCCGCTGCGAATTGCGAGAGCAACTCTTGCTGGTAGTTCCTGAGGATGATGGCAGGCGTGAGAACTGTGTCTCTGGCCGTGGCTTTGGCAAAGTTGCACCAAAGTTGCGCGTAGATCCAGACCATCTGCATGGGTGATGCGATGAGGCCGAGTAGACAGAGGTCTGATTTGAGGTCGTCGGAGTAGGTGATCGATGATGGAACCCCAAGGAGTAGTGCGACCTCTCGTGGATGGAGGACTGTTGGACGAATGGATGTCGAAGCGCGGAGGCCCTTCTCCCGAAGCGAGTACGTGCTGAAGCCCAGCTGTCGGCACCCACATGGGCACCCAGATAGTGCGTTGGAGTAGGCCAAGCACTCGTCGGTCGCTGCCGTATTCAGGTCTGAGAGCTTGAGCTGTCGTTCGTCTTTCAGCGGGCCAGTGACACCAGTCCTGAAGGATGTCCTGGATGGTGTCGAAGTCCGTGTTCCTTGGCCAGGGCTTGATGCCCTCCGTCAGGAAGAAGCAGGGCCCACCATCGGTTGCGTCTGTTCGGCCATTGGTCGGCCAGCTCCAGATTGATGCTGCAGACTTCCCAACTCATCACGGCTGAGCGCTGCGCCACCGTGTTGCGCCCTGCGTTGGGTACGCGCTCCAAAATGGCGGCCTGGCATTGAGTGTAGTTGATGATCCTCAATCCGGCATGGAAGGCCGCCGAGCGTCGGTCGGCCATCCCCCGGCGTTGGCCCTGAGCCGAAAAGGGCTGGCATGGAAAACCGAAGGTTGCTGTGTGGGCATAGCCCTGAGTGAACCTGTGGATACGTTCCGACGCTTTGGGATCAGTGATGTCCAACTGCAGCACGGGGGTGCCCGAGTTCTTCCGGAGATGTGCGATGGATGTGGGGTTGTTGTCCACGCTGACTGATGTGCGTGCTCCGAAATAAGCCGCTCCAATACCCATTCCACCGAAGCCTGCGCATAGCTCGAGAACCCGGGGTTCGGAAGCTTGATGAGGTCCACCAACTCTTGGGCCCAACCGACAGTGTAAGGGGCGCTTGGCATTGCACCTGCATGTTGTAGGTGATTGTACCTAGCGGTAAGCGATTGCTTTGCACGATGATGTCCAGGCCGTCATGCAACTGCTTCGCCCGAAATCCACTTGAACCACGTCCAAGGACCTTCATGACGATGTCAATACCGTCCCCATGCTGCATGTAGTCCAGAAAAGGCGCCATGTGGTGTGCAACGAGGTCCCAATCTTCTGCCGACTCAGCCCTACCGGCTGGAAGGTCTTGGGCCGAGAGCTCCATGATCCTTTAAAATGGTGGTCATTACCCAAGAAAAGGCGACAGATCATTTTTTTGCAGGTTTGAATTGGACGGAGGTGGGGGGCTGGCGCTCTTGGCCGTGGCCTTCGTGGTGATCGGCGGCTTCCAGTTGCCGATCCTTGGGGTGGTGCTGGTGGGCCTGGGCTACGCGGCCGGGGCCTCGAGTCCTCGAGTCCTCGGTCGGGTTCCAGCCGGTGCATTCTGGTCGCTTCCGACTGCTTCATTTTTGTGGGGGGGGCGGGGGGGAGTGGATGGAATGTGAGAAGCGGCCGGTGAAGGGGGCTAGTGACTAGCCTGGAGCCAGCCAAGCAGACTGGACAGGCCGGGCAAAATGTGATTCAAACTTGGGCGATTCCTCTTGGGATCGGTATGGAATCCCCGCCCCAGAAGGCCACACAAGCACGCCTAAGATCCAGACGGCATCATTTGGTCAAACTATCGCGCTCACGAGCTCACCCATGAAGAAGAAGGTCTTGTGTGGGATGTTAGGACTTGTTTGCAATTTGCCCTAGGTTTGTCTAGGGGATTCCTAAAAAATGTGTATATATATATTATACATATTATAAATATATAAAAGCATACAGGTTTCCTTGTGGTTTCCTTTTATCCCAACCCAAGAGCACCGTTTGCCTCGAACGACAGGCCGCGGTCAGCGCATCTTACAGCTGCCTGCCGCTGGTCATCGCAGCGACCGGAGCTGCGGAGAACCAGAAGAAGTTGGAGAGCCTTGCCGTGGGCATCAACATGGCCCGGCACTCGGACGTTTTTTACGCTGATCGGATCAATTCAAATTTAATCCAAATGGGTGTGCTATATTTGTTTTTGTTAATGGGGGACCCGAACTAGTGGACCCCGCCAAAAGTCTCGGCCAAATGAGGTGCTCGGTCAAATGTCCAGCGGGTGGGGTGGGGGGGGCCCACTATGTCGCAGGTGAATGACCATGGCATGTGACTCTTTTGGGCTGGTACCCAATTCAGCTTGGTTTAATGGACCGGAAGGACAACTGAAGGCATGTTGGGTCCTGCTCGAGGTTCGTTCATCATATTATGGTCTGTTTGGGTTAACATGGGGAACTCACTAAATGTCAACCAAAAACACCAGGGGAAGCACTAATTTTCCGGGTAACCTTAAGTAGGGAAGTCGCACTTGTTTGGGATAGTTGTGTTTGTAAAGGGAAGTGACTTCTGTTTTTGGACGCACCCGTTTCTTGTTCCGTTGTTCTTCCTGACATTGATCCCCACTGTGCTTTGCCTTTTTTCCAAGGGTGCAACGAAAGGGTCGAGCTGCAGCCAATCACCGAGTTGGTTCCGAGTGACCCCCGCGTTTCCCCCCATTGGCTGAGGAGAGTTGAATGCTAAAGCGACCCCCAACCCTGTTTCTTGTTCCTTTCCGTTCCAGTTGGATCCTGGCCAAGAAATGACTAAGCAACAAAAGGCAGCTTGCCCGCTGTGCCAAGGCTGGGTCTGGCTCTTCTATGATCCTCTCCAACCTGACCATCGGCTTGATCAAGGCTCGCTCGGAGAGGAGGCGATTAAACGCTAGAGTCGCAACATCCAGTGCGCACACGATTGTTTTGCAGTTTCTGCTAGGCGCGTGCATTGGCCGTTCAAAGCCAATCCGACAGCACTAAACCAAAAACTTCCCTGGCGGTTCGAAAGGGGTTTTGTAGAACTCTAGGGAAGATATGGCGCACGGTTTCAGGGCCACACAAGTAGTTCCCCGGCTGCAACTTTGTTTGGCGCACTTTGTCCTTGTTCTTGGGTGGCTTCCCAACGGGTCCCTGGCTGCAGGGTTTGGGCACTTAAAAGTGAAGTTCACTCGCGAAATGTGTGGCTTTGAGGTATCCTACTAAGTATTGGTGCCAAAGATACTGCGGATTGACCGGTAGATCCAAAAAGGCCATGTCCAAAAAGACAGACCGAATTTTGATATCTTGTCAGCTTGTCCAGCCTTTGTCGGATTCAGATCGCCAGGACCATGCCTCATACAGATGGGCGTGCCTCTATCTGAGCTGCATGGCCGCGTGCGGCGTCTTCAGCGCGGCTCGTCTTCTTGGGGTCCGATCCAAGCCCACGGCCCTCGAAAAAGAGGATGGGTGTCAGGCGGAGGCGACGGCATTTGGATACGCCGAGGGGCCAACCCTAGCTCAAGGTTTGCATTTGGACAGGGACCAAACGGACACCTACGTAGATTTCTTCAACTAAGATTGTTTTCTTTGGGATCAAACAGCAAGGTGGTATGTTTTTGGAGGGCACTCTTTGTGTTGGCTATTTCAAGAGAAAGTTCACTGGAAAACAGGAGAGCCTATTGAGACAAACCCAAACCCTCCAGGTCCCTGATTCAGAAGGGACATTAGGACGCCCAGAAGTGTTCTCAGAATCCTTTTCAGAATCCCTACATTCTTCCGAAATGGTCTCCTATGTCTGTCAGGCCCTGACTTTGGGAGTCCATGGCATGTCTTTCGCCAAGCTCATTTCCTGACCTCCTCCCTCGAAATCCGTTTTGCTTGGGTTCCCAGATGGATGGCTCGTCTTTTTTGAGGATCGGTGCCCTTTTTGGAAGGGAACCAAAAGGAAACCTACCTTTTCGCGGGTGCCGATTCCTATCTTGACATCAAATTATGGCCGACAACCAAAAAATGTGCCCTTTCAAGGGGCACTTGGGTTGGCTTCCCGAGGTGGCCTGGGTTGGCTGCAAATGCCCCGAGCCCTCCAACGGATCAGAATCAGAAGCCGCCGGCCGCGAGTGCCGGGAGCTGGAGGCCTCGGGAAAAATAGGGAGTTTCCTCCGTTTTGTTCGATGTGAAACACTGGGGTCCCTACACTTCCCCAAGTGGGGTTTTTAAGCGTCACCTAGTTTAACTTGCCCGTGTATGGGTGAGTTTCCCTTTATAGGGGTGATGTTTTAACGGGACATATAGGGAACCCTGTAAGAGTCAGCCAGTTTGGGGTTTTGCGGGCTGTGGCGGCCCTGAAACTGTGTCCGCCAACCTGCCCCTCCCCCCTCCATTCTGGCAAAATCCCAATCAAGAACAACAGCAACGACCCCAACAACTAAACTGTCAGAATCTGCAAAATGCAAGAACAACTAACACAACAGCAGCGAAAAGCGAAACAAAAGGAAAGCAAACAAATGCCTGAAACAACTTTGGTACCAAATTGTTTCTGTGGGTTCAAAGAGAAACCAGCAGAAAGCAGATAAGACCAGAGGGAAAGGAACAGATGCCCAAACCCGTTTGAGAAGACCCTCAATCCCCAAATCCTCAACGGTAGGGTTGCATCTGAAGATCACACGGTTTCCTTTTTAGGCCCAAAATGGGAAGGTTTCCTCTTGGTGCGCCAAACTGGTCTCCGGACTCCGTCCACTTGTCCGATCCATGCCACCCGGATCCATCAGTTTCAGTGGGCATTGGGAGACAGTTTTGCTCACCAGCTGGGGACTTGGAAAGAAAGCTTCAAAGGCCCCAGGCCTGCCCCGCAAAGGGTAACAAAGCCTTAAGGGCAACACAGGGTCTCCTTTTAACCGGGGTACTTGGCCTGTCGCGAGTCCTTTTGCCTTCTGTTTCGCAGGAGACAGAGGTTCAGGCGCCGCACATGCATCGCCCCTGCTCTGGCGGAGCCTTGGAGATTGACGACGAGTACATTCCGAGCCGGCCTCAGCTCATTCCGCTGCCTCGGTCATGGAGGTGCTTTTGGAGGGAGAAACAATGCATACCTAAAAGGCATCTTCGCACCGCCCTTGGAAGTCGGGGTGTGTTTGCTTAGGTCTGGTGCTTCGGAGGCAAGCTACGGTAGCTACGGTAGCTGAACGCAACGTTTGGCAAGCTGTCTTTTCGGAATGCTACATGCACTCCCCAATGCAAGCTGCAAGTGTGCACGTCCCATGGGCTGATGTACATTGCACAGCCCTGGGCCGAACTCCGCGAAAGAAGCGAACGGGGGGTGGCTGGACTCGGACAGTGCCCCAAAGGGAGCTTCCTCAAATCATGGCTTTTTGGAGTTCCATATCAATCAGAGGAGCAACACATGTTTGTTTTTGGTCAGCACGAGTTGCAGTCCATGGCTTGCATTGAACAGTGACGTTCTGAGTTCTGCACCCAGCAGTTCTGGGTGGCGGGTACACCTGCAGACTGCGAGGTTCGAACAACTTGCGAGCTGAAGGATTGGCTCGGACGGCGCATGTCAGATGTGCCTTTGCCTTCTATGATGATGTCACATGTATGCAAAGCCTCATGTGGACCCCTTTTTGGGTTGATTCAGAAAACCACCATTTTGGCTGCTCCCTAGAGAACAAGAGCCACCCATGTATAGGTTCCCTCTTGGCTTTGATTCGATGAGGGGCCAAAGCTTTGTTTTCAGCTATTGACCAAAATTCACACGTAGGTGAGGTGCCCAAAGCAACAGTCAAGGGTTTACCAACCCCCTGCAGCACACCCTCTCCCCCAGGAAGAATCGTCATGCGTATGCCAAACTGCTCCCAAAGCATGAGGTTGAAGCCCTTTCAAAGGCTGATTTGATTTGAAATCACGTTGGGTTTCGCCGTTTCGCACTTGGCTTTAATGAACTTTTCGCATTGGGCTTCGAAGATTGGAAGCAGCTCGGTGGCAGAAGCACCCCGGATGGTGTCTGTGGAGCCCTGCCGCACGAAGGGCCGTCGCCTGGTGGCGCAGCGGGGCTTTGAGGTGGGCGAGGCGACACCTTTTGGGAGGCGTCCGCCGTTCTTAATGCCAGCTTCAAGAGGGCCCGTTTGACATGGCTGTGGGTCAAAAATAGGTACCCAAAATGGAACCCTGGTAAATGGAAGCATGGACTAAAACCTGTGATCCTCTGGTGGCTGAATTTTGACCCATACCCGCACCAATGAGCACTTCAATTGGGGTCTGTTTGCAGTCTTGAGCTGGAAGCCCCTCATCATGTGGCCCCCTCACTATTTCGGGTGAAGCACCAGGCTAATGGTTGGCCGGGCAAGTGGATTCCATTTTAAGAATATAGGTGCTTGCCCTCACTATGGACAAGGCTGCTCTTGAATCAACCTACTTCCGCCCAGTCTCAGCTGAGAATTTCAAGCCCTCACGATTGCTTTGTTCTGGATTGATTCCCTACAAAGCAGGTAAACCGTGCAAATCAAAAACACGCACCGCACAACCATGGCGGCTTGGTTGCCCCATGTGACTGTATTTTCCCATTAGCCATGTTTGGAAAATTACGTTTCCCCACTAAGCAGACAAACGTTTGGACGTTGAACATGTTGCAAGGGCATTGTGACCAACCCAAGCAATTTGGTTCAAGCAGAAGGTTTCACCTCGTTGCCTACTGCACTTGGTTGGTATCCACTTTGTCAGGTCGGAGATCTGTTTTGATATTAGTTTCTGCGTTTTTAGGTTGACTAAAATCTGGACCAGAATGCAAACATCAGTTTTTCGGTTGGAATCTGGGTCGATTTCCTGACCCCTTGTCTCACAGCCGGACATCCCAGAGTGTTCCCGAAAGCCGGGCTCCAGTTTTGGGTCCTAGACCAGAAAAACGGCAACCTCAGCTCGAATTACTTGCGTTCCTAGGAATGTCCCCTTCAAAGTCAAAGACTACGACAGCCTGTTGATTCTTTCACGGGTCTTGGTTGTGGCTCAGTTCAGACAGTCAACCCTCAGGTGGTCCTTGAGGAGCAGCCCGTGCTGGAGATGCCACTTCGCCCAAGTTGAGCGTGGCTTCGCCATCGGTTTGAGTCTTCTGCTATCAGCTGCCAGGAGGGGTTCCTGATGTTGATACCTTTCCTTTTTCTATTTTGGAAAGCGCGGTTATTTTCTCACTTTCCAGAAGGAAAAAACCCTGTGTTGCTTTGTTTCTGTTTTTGTCTCCTTTTTTTGTTCGCGGGCGCAACAGCTGCCAAGCTGTGATTTGAATCTGCAATATTTGCAAGATATTTATAGAGGTATGGTCAGGCCAGCATCGATGTTCGTCTCAACATGACCCATGGAAAGCAGCTCCAGGTTCAATAGTTAAGATGTCTGGAAGAGACATGGCCACGTGGCGCTCCGATGTCAAATCTGACGGGAAGGCGCTCAGTTTCACAGATTTTCCGACTACCCTTTTCAGATACAATGAGCCCTGCCAATGGACATGAAAAGACGCCTCTCCGCTTCGCTCTTGCCAGTGATCAAAGCCGGTCGTTTTCTAGGAAAAGGGCCAGAGACTGCAGTAGGCAATCTGGACTTGTCAAGAGGTGGTTGCTGCAGTGATACTCCGAGTGTCTCTTGGTTTCCGAGTTAGGCAATTCCCGTGCTCAGTAACAGTACAGGGTCTCCGTTCCCAGGCAAAGGTCCATGATTAAGGGCAATCAGTGCCCAGCAGCAAAGCATCATGACCTTGTCCCCTGTCATGCAGATATGGAAAGGGAAAGAACGTATGGAGGGGCAGCACCCACGTTTTCCTACTCGAGATCGAGATTTGATCTTGCTTGAAACTTACACATGACGGTCCTGTTTTGAGGGGCCGGCTGGTGAATGACAAGATGGCAGACTCATGGAACGGGTAAACGAGCTTACGGGCCCCTGCGATGAAGGTCCCAAACTCGGAAATTCCTTTGTTTCCGTGTACGGGACTATTCTGTGGTTTGCAATGTTTGCAGATTGGAAGTATTCGAACTAGATTGTCGTCAGAATATGTTTACATCTGGACATACATCCGAACAAATTAAAGCAACCTCACACAAAAGGGTCGGTGAATTATCAAATTCCATAGAATTTTGACGAAGGCTGTTGCCAAAGTTCGGGAACTTCCCCCAGCAGGTGACATCCAGAAGTGGTTCTCCAATGAGAAACATGATCAATGGACCCCCGAGTCCATCTCTTTGAAGCTTTTGGTGTACCATCTCACGAACAAACATGGAGGATTCTGTTCCCAAATTTGGTGCTCCAAACCATGTGTGCGTGTGGGAGGGTATTTGTCCTACATGTTTTTCTCGGATGGCCGTTTCCAATCATGATAGGTCTGTTGGTTTGCATTGGGGAGTGGGTGATTGTCCTTCGATCCGACGCTGAAGCGGCGCTTGCCCTCCAAAAGACACACATCCCCCGTTTCGTAATCAAGCATCACCTTTTGGGCCAAAGTAACAAAGTTAATGACCTTTTGGCGGCGTGTTGTGGAACATTTGGTATCTTTCAGAGTTTCCCAGCCACTCGCCCAGCGTTTGGACTTGAAACTTTTTGGGAACATCATTGTACGCAAAACGGCTGGTTGCATTTTGCTGACCAATGTGCTCAAGTATTGGGATCTTTGAGCTGACCCTGACCGACCAAACACGCCACCACAAACACAGGCTCTTGGGGAAGACACATTTAGACCAAAACTGCATGGGCTATGTGTTTTACTTAGGGGAACATATTCAAAAGTGGTTGGTGCATTTGCGTCCCCTCCCCAAAACGATGTCCGCTAACCCAACTGAAGCTCAGGTGTGTTCTTTTGGGATGAGCCCTCTTTCTGATCTAAACCACTTAAGTGGTGCGAAGTGGACATTACCCATCCACGGTAGGAGCAGTTTGTTTGATGCGAATGCATCAAGCCGACATCAGAACTCCTTGGGCCACTCATTTCCCTTGTGACTAGGGACAATTCCTTGGGAAGGGGATGCGTTTGGGGATGCCTTAGGCCCGACGACCGGGTCCTCGCAGCTTCGGGCCCTGTCCAGTCGCGCTGCGCGGCGGCCTGGCGCTACCTGCGACAGGAAGTGGCTGACGCGAACCCGCGTGACCGTCGGGGTCGAGCGAACCGCAAAGTGCGCTTCGTTTTGGGGGATCCCCTTTTGGGACCAAAGGGAAAACCGCCCATTTTCGGGGGTACTTACCCTTCTGGTTTTCCTTTAAAACCACCAAAAATTGAGTACCCTCGGAAAAAGACATACTGGCTTTGGCACATTGCTGGGTTGCTCATGCTTGTCAACCTTGAGCGTGCTTGATGGCAACGGTCAGAACTGTCAGACTAGGCAGAACTGAGATCGTCAGCAGATCACAAGCAGAGCGAGCAGAATTCGGATGAGGAATGGCATCGAAGATCTTCCAAGCAACCATGCGGGCGTCCCATATAAGTTCCATGCATTCGAGGCTGCATCAAAAGCTCGGCTTCAACACCCGTGTTCCTTTCAGATGACATTTCAGCAATTGCCCCAAAAGCCGGTTGCCGCCATTCCGATTCTTTCTGGATTCCAAGAAATCAGGTTCACTTACCTTGGGTATTGTCGGAGGCCTTCCATGCACGAAATATGTTTCCCTGACACACCATGTCGCTTTGGTTTTCCAGAAAAGGGCCCAATGCGTCACTTGTGCTGCGAAATGGTCAGAGGAGGCGCTGGCGCAGCAGATCCTCTCGCTGGATCTGTCCCAAGGAGCCGCCGCCGCCCGCGCGGAGGAGCTGCAGGAAGCCTTGCAGGAGGCCGGGGTTTGGGGTTTGGAGTTCCATTTGGGCCGGCTGTTTATTTTCACACCAAAAAAATGGGGGGGGGGGGGGAAAAATACATAAAATGGCACTTCTAACATCAAAACCAAATAATCAAACAGCATACAACAAAATCGGCAAAATTCACAGAAAACAAGATAAGAACCACCAAGCAACTCAAAAACCAGAACAACCCCCAACAAAATATTTAATCAAAGCATAAAACATTAAATAATTCAAACAAGCATACCAACAAAACAGCAAAAATAAAAACCATCAAAGAACACAAACTCAAAAACACACAAAATCAAAAACAAAGCAACATACCATCAAAAAATATCAGAAGAGTATCAAACAAAATAAAATACAAACAGCCAAAGCACGAAAAAATCAAAAGAGCATGCCAAGTTCAAACAACGCACTTTGAAAGAGACAAGCAAATTAAGAAAAAAATATTTCAATCTTTACAAACTATAAGTACAGTATAATTATAACATATAAGATTTTACATGTTATTATTATAGTATGATTATAATTTCAGTACAGGATAATAATTTAATTGACAAATCTTTCTTCTTTCATACATCATTTTAAAAATAATATTAATATCTCTCAATGTATTTTGAATATTAAACTTTTTACTTTCAATAAATAATTTGATATTTTCTTTAACATCTTCCCCTTTCTCTTGACTATAGCCCAACATCCATAATATATCATAAATCATGTCATATTTTTTCTTACTGATTTTAAGAAACTGTTTAATATAATCGTAAGGTGGTATTTTATTTACAGTTAGAAATATTAAAATCTCATCTTCTACATGTCTATTATGTCTTCCTTTTATTCTCAACAGACATTTGATTAAAAAATGATTATCTCTCCATTCCTGGCAATTTTCACATTCGACTTTTTCATCCATTGAATAATTAATAATATTATTCACTATTTCATTAGGTAAATTTAATTTATACAATTCCATATTTTCTTTTTTGAAATGACAACAATCATAGCATTTTTTATTGATATAATTATTGATTTTATCACCGTTCATTTTCCTTTTATTATATTAAGGCACTATTTCTTTAAGTCATTTTTAAGGCATTAAGAAAAATAAGAAACAAACCATAAGTTCAATATAATTATAACATATAAGATTTTACATGTTATAATTATAGTATGAAACAAGTATAACTACATGCCCTATGTGTCAAACACACATACCATATGTGTCAAACACACATACCATATGTGTCAAACACACATACCGTATGTGTCAAACACACATGCCCTATGTGTCAAACACACATGCCCTATGTGTCAAGCACACATGCCCTATGTGTCAAACACACATGCCCTATGTGTCAAACACACATGCCCTATGTGTCAAACACACATGCCCTATGTGTCAAACACACATGCCCTATGTGTCAAACACACATGCCCTATGTGTCAAACACACATGCCCTATGTGTCAAACACACATGCCCTATGTGTCAAACACTTTCACTGATAAGATTTTCGGGTATTCTATATAAATCACTCTGTGAATGAATGATGGGGCTTTCCCCACAGTCGGCTTTGCTTTTTTGTGGCAGTCTCTGCGCAGTTTCAATATGTTTATTATTCCTGATGTTGCCACAATCTTTTTTACATAAATCTCTAGGTTTCCAAGTTGTAATGTTATTCCAAAGCCTAGTTCTCTTTCTGTAAGACATTCCATATTTACAATAATCTACATCTTTAAAATCAAACTCATCCATAAACTCCTGATTTTTTAATAATCCAGTTTGAGGATTTTCGATTACAAAATACTTAGGATTGAAATATTTGATAATTTCAATAGTTTTTAAAACTATACTATTAGCATATTCAATGTTTCTTATTCCCCTAGTTTTTGCTATGCTGCATTCAGTGCATGGGGGACTACTCCAAATAAAATCAAAATGGTTCCTATCAAATTGTTTATAATCCCATTTCAAAATATCAGTATTTATATCAGCATTTTTCAAATCCAATGAAATAACATTGAAACCGAGCGACTTTGCAACAAGTCCAACACTGCCTGTTCCGCTAAACATCTCTAATAAGTTCATTATTAAAGATATTTAGATAATATTATCTATTAGTAAATACAACTTTATGAATAAAGTTGCGTTTCCTCGTCATAGTCAATTTGATAAAATGTCATAGTTGAAGCCTTCGGTTCTTTAATTTCTTTGTTATTAAGTTTGTTTAAATAAATATTTCTTTTATTTTTATATTCCCCATTGGTTCTATCTACTTCTTGACTTTTATAACTGTTTGTTAACGGTTTCTTCTTTTCCATTTCTTGCAAGATTTCTAAAATATTCTTATTCTGTTCTAAAACCTTGTTCAGTTTTTTAACAATCTTATCTAATCCTTCATCCATGTAAATATATACTAAATTATAAAACTAAACTTTTAAAACTAAATGTTGCAATTATGTTAAATCTACTCTTTAAATACTAATTTTTCATCATTTGTTTTACAGTTTCCTGAGTTTCCTTATCGCCATTATCGGATGGTGATGCATGCCTTCCCCATTTGATAGCAATATTATGAACATCTGTTTCTAAATTTAAATCACCGTCTTTAGTTTTATCAATATTCATTTTCTTATCATGTCTACTTATTTTGAAACTTGTTGGAATACACGAACATTTACAGTTTCCTTTCTTTTGTATTTCTAATTCATTTTTCATTTCTAAGATTTTTTTACACATTGGACAAGCAAACTCAATAACTGATGTTTCTTTAACAATTTCTTCTTTTTCTTCATCAGTTGAAGAAACAACTGATTCTGTCTTATTCTTTTTCTTTCTCCCCATCTATATTAATATTTATATTTTTAATATATTGTATCACAAACTTAATTAATTCTAAAATAAAATAACATATTTTTTTGAATCTATTATTAGTTATAACAACCCGTTCTATATTCTCTATTTCATCTATTATATCAATATAATCTGAATAACTTCTATTCATATAAAATAATAAATATTAAATTATTTTCTAAATGTCTTTAATATTATTTTTATTATGCCTGATGTAAAACCAATTGATGAAATCAAATATGACTTTAAGCAAAGTAAGCACGAGGTCGTCCCTAAATTGCCATTCAGAAGTATCATAACTGGACCGTCAGGAAGCGGTAAAACAGTTTTATTGATTAATATGATACTTGATATATACAAAAACTGTTTTGAAAGAATATATATTTGGTCTCCTTCAATCAATGTTGATAGTGTGTGGTTGCCCGTTAAAAAATATATAAAAGAAGAAATGAAGGTGGATAATGAAAAAGAACCTTACTTATTTGAAGAGTTTAAGGCAGAAGATTTAGAACAAGTGATAGAGACACAACACAAAATAACAGAATATAGTAAAAGAAACAAATTAAGAAAATTGTTTTCCATATTGGTTATTTTGGATGATATAAGTGATGACCCTAAGGTGGCGAGACATAACAAACTGTTAAACTCATTGTATGTAAGAGGACGCCATAACGGTATATCAGTAATAACAAGTATTCAGAAATTTAATACATTACCACCATTAATTAGAGTAAATGCTACACATTTGTTCTTTTATAAAGTGAGAAATTTTAAAGAAATTGAGTTGCTACAAGATGAACTATCAGCAATTGTTAGAAGAAACAACTTACACGAAAGCAAGAAAGTAATTTATGATTTATATGAAACTGCTACTGACGAACCACATAGTTTTTTGTATATTGACCTTCTCCAAAAAGACCCAAACCGTATGTTTCTTAAAAACTTCACACAATATTTAAGAATAAGTTAGTATTTAAAGAATAGACATTTATATAGTATTATGGAAGAAAACCGAAATAAACCGAAAGACTATAAAAATGGAAAGATATATTCTGTAAGAAATACTGTAAATGATGACATTTATATAGGTTCTACAACCCAACCATTAAGTAAGCGTTTTTACGACCATAAAAAGAAAAAGAACGACAAAAAACAAAATTATTTTGTTTATCAGAAAATGGCAGAGTTAGGTGTAGATAATTTTTACATTGAGTTAATAGAAGATTACCCTTGTGAAAACAAAGAACATTTGTTGAAGAGAGAAGGTGAATGGATAAGACATTTAGCGACATTAAATCAGAAAGTCGCAGGAAGAACACGCAGTGAATATTATACAGATTGTAAGGATAGAATACTTACTCAAAATAAAACATACAGAGAAAACAATAAAGACAATATCAGCGAACAAAGAAAACAATACAGAGAAGACAATAAAGACGAAATACGGAAAAGAGACAAAGAATACAAAACTCAAAATTATGATAACATTTTAGAAAGTAATAGGAAAAGGGGGCGAGCAAAAATAATGTGTCAGTGTGGTCTGTCAATATGTTATGATAGTAAAGCAAAGCATATTAAAAGCAAAAAACACCAAGAATACCTAAAATTATTACAACCAGAAGAAACACCTGAAATTATTGATTAAACACATAATTAAATTACTAATTAAAAAATAAATATATTATATATATTATGGTATTTTATTATTTACCAATAGAAATTAAAAACATTTTAATATCGTATATTTTAGATGATGTTAGATTATTAAAAATAAAAAATAATAATATTATTAAAAAATATATTAATAAATTTAAACCAGTGTATAAGTCTTACAAATTAAATAATATGCAATATTTTGAAATTGATAATATCAATATTAATAATGGTATATCATATGTTTTTAACTTAAGTGAATTAGGTAAATTACATCAAGAACATAAACCATTAAAATTATTAATTGAATACGATATATTAGCTACATCTACCTCATTTACTTGTTTGAATCATGTTCGTAATCGTACTTTAACATCAAATAATTTATTTGATATTTATTATTTTCTTAATAAAGACCTTTATGAAACTAATTTCACGTATAGCCGTAATATGGTTAATTTTATTTCATTACAAGTTAAAAAA